GGAGGAGAGGAGAGAGAGGAGAGAGAGAGAGAGAGAGAAGAGAGGGATTGGGGGACAAGTCCAGTGGGCAGTGACAAGATTACAGAGTCGAGTTTGTCGTTGTATTTTAAGTTGGATCTCAGATTGTATAGATTTACCGATACTCCAGATATCCAATAGATATCCAAGATATCCAGCCAACCAATATCAGTACCGTAGTCGGCCCCAGCTAACCGCAGTCCCCTCAGACAACACTGCTTTGTCGTCCGACAGTCTCTGCGGCGGATAAACCCTGGCCCGGTAGACTGTTCCGCAACACATGTCTGCTATGCGGCACAGTCTACCAGCGCAGGAATCGTCGACTCGGCTGTGGTAGTGGTGAATGCTGAGGACTGAGGAGCGCTGTTTTAGCGTGGTGATTGAGTGCGCGAGTGAGGGAGTACAGTCGGTGAGTGAGTGGGGAAGTAATAGAGTGAGTGAGTGAGTTGAGTGAGTGAGTGAGTGAGTGAGTGAGTGAGTGAGTGAGTGAGTGAGTGAGTGAGTGAGTGAGTGCGTGAGGGAGGGAGGGAGGGAGGGAGGGAGGGAGGGAGGGAGTGAGCGAGTGAGTGAGTGGGTGAGTGAGTGAGTGAGTGAATGAGAGATGCAGGCTGGGAGTAAGTGAGTGAGTGAGTGAGTGAGTGATTGAATGAGTGAATGAGAGTGAGGGGTAGAGAGGGAGAGAGCAGAGAGAGAGAGAGACCAGAGAGAGAGAGAGAGACGTTTGTCTTAGCAGGCCCTTCAAGCTTACATCTACATAAGCTGTAGCACGCATGGTATCTGAACAGAGAGTTGATAAAGAGTGATTTTTTGGCTGCGCCCGGGACTACCAGCTCGGCACAAAGTTCCACATATGAATAATATTTCTTGGAGTTATCTGTGGACGAAATTAACGGCTCATTTCACAGCCGGTAGCTCCGTCAGACGTTTAAAAGTAAATTATAAAATGTAAATAAACGGTGATAAAAATAACCTGATAAAAGTAACTTACGGTTTCGGTAAGTTGGTCGATCCTGAGCAAACTTCGCGGATTTAACGCTAGATGTGAATCTTAGTTGTTCGGATGTTTTAAAAGTTTTCTCATTTATACCTCGGACATTCCCATTACCATAATTATCAGGGATAAAATGGCTAAATACACTTGAGAGAACGGCAGGCTTTACAGAGTCGACCGCTCTCATCACTAGAAGCTGCTAATGTCTCCGCTATCTCATTTATCAGATGAGGTAGCAAAGAAGGCTCATATCGCAAACGAATAACAATGCTAATTGCGCTTGGAAAACCTGTTTTAATTCGCGTTTTACACATGTGTCTCCTAAAAAGGTTTTCGCTTTTCAATACGCAGCGATGTCCACCGCTAGTCATGGAACATCCAACCAGCAACAACCTGTCGAAGTTTATCGAAATATATTTAGTCTGGTTGCAAAAGCAGTACCAAGCGATTTGTTGTGTATTTTATGGGCAATTGGAATAAAAAAAATTGGTCAATCCGTCATTCTATGCATCGAATGTTTGGTCCCTCAGGCATTTTACAGGCTGCATATATTCACAATGCCTAGTCAATATTTCTTCCTGCTGCTTTGTGTAACCACCAGATGTTCTAACGACCGGCTATGTGTTTTATAGAACATGTCCGAGTTCATATGTTGCAGTCATATCGAATTGTCCATGCGACCTCCAAATCAGCGTAAGCATGATAAAAAAAAACGTTGAACGTCTACTCTGACGCACCCTTAGCTCCGTTGAAGTCAGCTTTCTGTTTTATTGGCTTGTGAGGTATGCAGACAAGGGTTTGTAGGCAGTCAGTTTTGATAAACAGCTGCCGCGGCGCAGCGTGAGAGCGGCGTTGAAATAATGTAATTAATGATCTTGCTATTTGTATCTTCTTAGTGCAGCTTATTGACTCAAGTGCCTCTTCTGGGGTCAAGTGCCTCTTTTGGTAATCACAAACTCTGGGTGATATGCCCTGAATGATGCTTTATTAATCGCTGTTTCACAACGTAAAATTGGTTTCGATTTGGTTGCATTATTTGTGTTGTTTAGATACCACAGGGGAGCAATGCCGCTTCAACCCTATTGGCCGTAGTGTCTAACGGTGGCGGCCATATTGCGCAGACCAGAAACCGGCTGCCGCCTGTGTTGAGGAATAGGGAATTCGGGACCTCGATTTACGTTTGCGGCCGCCGTATCCGTTACGTTCAAGTTACGTAGATACGGAACCCGGCGTCTTACGCAGAATTGAGTGGGGAACACGATCGTATCTTCAGAATTCCTCAAATTCACTCGCCTGACCTACATTTGCCCCGGCCGAGGGGGTTGATTGAACCCACCTCGCTAATGCACCGCTAATTAAACTAGAATTAAGCGGTAAAGTGGTCGTATGCGGCAAAGTATAATGCAGAGTGACTGGTAGGAACCCGCTGTAAGGGTCTCAGGTCAACCGGTGACCTCTGAGGTCAGGTCAGGTGATCTAAGGCACGGGTTTGGTTTTTTGGTAAATAACTTCGCCAAAAATGGCCGTAGAGCCGCGATTTTGGCATCATCGTGTTCAGCTAGCTCAGGCGCATCGAGTGATATACTTTTTGTTCGGGTCAGGTCAACTTAGGGTGTTGACCTCAGGTCAAGGTCAGGTCAGCACCCCCAGGTCACGAAGTTGGTCGAAAGAGGTCATGTCGCATATCATTCGATTCGGCAGGTCTTCCTGAGTCCATTGGTGGCTTTCCCGACTCGCTAGCTCAATTTGATCGGGAGTTATTGAAGAAAAATGGTGACCCTTGTGACGTCACAAATGACGTCACGCAAGGGCAACAATGCAAATATGAAGCATAGAACCTTGCAAAGAGTGCATGAAATCATGATTTTATATGCTTGAGATAGTTTCAGATCATTCTCGGCGCCAAAATAACAATTTTCATATTTCCCCATTGACTTATAAGGGTTTAACGTATTAGTTCCTTATAGCTGATGATTTTTTAGGATTTCATCTTGTTCTCCACTCAATTCTGCGTAAGATGCCGGGTTCCGTGTCCACATAGCTTGAGCGTAACGGATGCAGCGACCGCAAACGTAAATCGAGGTCCCGAATTCCCTATTCCCCAGCACAGGCGGCGGCCGCTTTCTGGTCTGCGCAACATGGCGGCACCGTTGGACACCATTTGGCGGCCGATGCGCATTCCACATTATAGAGTTCAGTGTTAGATACTTACAAGCACGTCCAAACGTTCTCGTCTCGCTCGAGAAAACTGTTGTTTCAATGTCCTCAATGCTTATTCAGGGCGCTTGGTTTACTCATTATATTTTTTACTCGTATTCGTATCATGTTACTCGTATCGTAAGAATTATTTGCATGCATGCTGAGTCACGTGGTCCTTTTCAAGTAATTCTAATGTGAGGTGGTCGCTAACAAATATTTACATGATTACAGATAACAGTAGAACAGACATTAGAAGTCGGTACTTCTGTTATCTGTGTCATGATGCATGCAAATTGTATTTGCAATGCAACAACTTTTCAGGAGGAATTAACCTTTGAAATGCATTTCTGCCCGTAGACTGAATGGATAAACACCCACGTTGCTTTTCTACGCTCTGATGAAAGTACCTACCCAATTACTGCGCGTAATTATTTCTGAAGTTTTCTCACTGCCAATTACCATAATGTCCCTCCCGGGCCATCCCACTGTTTTCCGACCAATCGGATAGAACCGGGATTGTTTTCAACCAATCAGATACCGCGCCAGGACAATTTCAACCAATCAGCGGCCGCGTCTGCGTGATATATTGCACTGTTTACTTTGAACTCCGACTGGAAATTCTGGCCTAATCCGCGTGCAGTGTTGCGTACGACGACCGGCGAAATTGGATATAAACAGTTCACAAAATAGCGCAAAGTGCGTCGTAATACCGAAATGGTGTTGTGTGGTGTAAAAACGAGTCGTGTTGTTGATGGGTTCGATTATGTTTGTGACGTGACCACTTTGGACTGGGCTGTTGAGCCGAAGCGACGGCTTTGGATTGCTGTTTGTCGATGGAAACCAGATCAAATGTTTTTCGAATGCTTCACTAACCTAAAAACATAGCAGATACGCATAGGAGTGAATTCGGAGCTAGGAGTTTAGTATACGGCTGTGAACAATGCACGGCACGATGCTTGTAATTAATAATGTGATGCGTCACATTTTGTTCAATGCTCATTGCCTTCGCGCACATTGATGGCAACCTACCTTACCGTTCAACACTGTCGTACCAGGACAGCATACGCTGTACAGTATCAGCAGACATTGCACCAAGCTGCTTTGAAGCACAACTCCGTAAAAGCTTCTGCAAACTCGGGATTTTTTTTTTCAAAAGCAGTACAATCGTTTGAGTCAAAGCCCACAGTTTGAACTCCTAATCGGATTTAAACTTGTGGCGGTGCATCGCTTTTCCGTTTGCGCTATTTGCAGTTTACTCGTACTTTTTAGTTGAAATAATATCATCAAACTTCGGGCGAATTCGAAGGATTGATGCAAATTATCATAAGCGCTGTTGCAACGGAAACATGCTGAATTTAGCGACGCATCAGAGTGTGTGCTGACTCTGTGTTTTTCTGTTTTCAGATCTAAACTGACGATGGTTACGCAACTGGTCCTGGCGCTACTTTCACCTCTGATGACAACTGCTCTCAACTTCTCAGAAGCCGAGGTGAGACCAGCGAACTGTGCTGATTTACGTGTACAACATGCTACAGTTTTCAAGTTATGTAAAAAAGCCATCTTTGCTATGAAATAACTTAACACCTATTAGGCATACACCAATTTCCAATCACTTTTCAAATAAATTACTCAATCGATTATAAAAAAAAATCAAAACATCGATAAATGTCAAACATGGAAATGTGGCAAATAGTTTAAATGTATAACACGCGAGTTTAGGGCATTTGCGCTAAGCAGCCATTTCTGCAAAGCTGCCATGATACCTTATAAGCGCCCAAACATAAAGGAATTAGTTACTTTTTATTACTTCCAGCTGACAAAAAGCCAGTTAGCTCGCCTCACACCATATTTTATCTCAATTCTCATACGCCTCTTGAATCAATTTCAAACGACCGTTTTCTTTGCTGGCACACCAAAGAAGCGACATATCCGTACAGGCCTAGCTACACTATGCGTTTTCTGCGTGCGTTCTTGCGGTTTTTTCGGGTTTTGCATAATATCGTTCCAGAAAAATAAACGATAATACGTTTTTGTGATGTTTTTATGTTAAATTTTGGTTATATAAGAGATATAATAACTTTTGCATCTAACTTATGTAAAAGTTATATTATTCATATCTTTTTTTCTAGAACGATATTACGCAAAAAACGCAAACCCTCAAAAAACGCACGCAGAGAACGCATAGTGTAGCCAGGCCTTAACAATCATCTCCATGGCAACCGTTCCCATGGCAACCGTTTTGTGCACGGGGCGCTGCGCCGGCCATGTTGGCTCCGGAGAGGATATTAGACTGGGTCTGCTCCGAGCGGGCGACCTGATGAGACAGGAACGGTGATTGATGACGGTTCTCCTGCAGATAGAACCGGGCGTGGGTGCCGGTGGGTTTGGGTGTGCTGTCAGCGGGTGTGGGAGGGGTGTGGGTAAGGTTGGGCTGAGGATAGGGAGCAGTGGGGTATGGATGCGCTCTTATACGGCCTTGTATGGATGTATGATAATGCCTATGTTGTGTTCGAGCGGGCATGATACATGATGGGAATAAGAGATGAGGTTTATATTACAATATTAACCTTCGCCCCAGTGGGGGGGGGGCATATGTTACCACCCTGTCGCGTTTTTTTCGTATAAATAAAAAACCGCGGCGCGTAGCGCCGCGCCGCTTGGGGTAGCTTTTGGTACATCAATTTTGGACAATGTGTGAAATTTTTGACCCCAGGTCATGTCAGGTCAGGTCACTAGGTCAAGTTAACTGACCAAGCCTAAAAAAAGTTTGCAATCATGTCCAGCCTGCAGTGTTTGTCAGAGAGGTTTAAAACTTGGTGGATTACATGATGTTATGGGTACCTACAATTTGTATGTCTCGGATTTTTTATATGCGTGACCTAAGGTCAGGTCAGTGGCGTGACCTTTCCATTATAAGTCAATGGAGAAAAACGAAAATGCCTCTAGATCCGTGTGTACGCATAGGAACAGTCCAAATATTTCAGGATAACAATGATTTGGACCACCCGTGACGACCAAGGTGTCTTTTTTGCTGATAGCCTCTTGAAAGGTCATCCGAGGTCATTTGAGGCTACAAACAGTTTTTTGCCAATAACTCTCGATTGGAAAGAGCTAGAACGCTGGGGTTGGCCTCATTGTGTTTGTCTTGCCAAGACGCATCGACTGATATGCAACATGACCTTTTCCGGTCAGGTCATGACCTTGACCTAAGGTCAAGTTTTGAAGTTGACCTTTCAAGGTCAAATTATAGTTCATTCGACGCGTCTCGGCGAGAGAAACACGATTCTGGCATTAGAAATGACCTAGCTGTTTTTAGTCAAAAGTTATTGTCGAAAAACACTTTTCTTAAAAACAGCTATTTTTGGAGTTTTTGCCCTCTGGAGGCTAAACCGTTGACCTGAGGTCATTTTTGATTATGACCTTATCAAAAGAAGAGTTCAAAAGCTATCGATTGCTTTTCCCAGCGTTTTTCTAGCTATCATAGTTCCTGAGATAATGGCATGTTTTCTGAAAAATATAATGACAATTCGCAAATTTTGACCTTTGATGACCTCTGGTGACCCCAATATTGCTCTAAGATGAAAAATGACCGAAATACTTTCAAACGTACGCATCAAGAGCTATCGACTGCTTTTCACCGCGTCTTTCTAGCCCTCTTAGTTTTTTAGTTAGAGGTGGGTGGTAACATATGCCCCCCCTCACTAGGGCGAAGTTGGCGGAGACCGCCACTGGGGCGCGGGTTAATTCACAAATGACTATCGAACAAATTATGCGTAGATAAAAGTTTAGTTCCTTTGGACCGATTCCTCGGATATTTTTTTTCAAACAAAATACACGCCACCAAGCAGGTTACACCATGTGATGATGTGATGTGTGACTGATGTGTGTTTGTTTTCTTACCTTTATCAATCAGGTCTCACCGATCACATTTTCATCGCAGGTTTTCCCTCACGAGGCGCCACCTGTTAGCTACGGCAGGTCAATGACCTCTGACCTGGAGCGTGACCTGCGGATCATCGACCAATTTTCGGCGGAAAAGCGCGGCGCACAGTGCGTCTCGAACCCAAGAGTCTCGGTCAAAATTGACATCGATACCTCAAGGTGAGTCAAATGCTATGTGCAAACGATTTTAGATATTTGCACGGATTTTGAAACTTTATGTAATAGTTGAGATTTGTGAAGTTTCATTTCTATGTAATAACTTTAATTTTTGCCCTAGAACAAAAACATGTGGATGTGATGATGAATAGGTATCTGCATTTCAGTAATCAGCAACTCCCTGCAATTACTTTTAACTGACGTTCACGCGCCATTTACTAAATATTCACTTACCTTTCCCGACGAGAAAACCATGGATGTTATTGCTCTTATCTAGACATCTGTTTCCGAATCAGTACCTTATATCTACCGTTACCAGACAGCTATTTCAGCCGAAGCTGCTTGATTTGACGGTCCCCAGACGACAATATATTCCTCCGCGGTCGGAAACAACTCCCATGGCGGTTACAAATTACTTCGAAACCCCATCCAACCACTCCTCAATCAACTGATTGAAAACGGACACCCTAGAACCGCAGCGCATCTTCCTAAGACGCAAAATCTGCGTCTTAAACGCTACCGGAGATTGGCCGCGAATTTCATGGCCGCATGACGTCACTGGGGATTTAGTGACGTCATTGGGATGCTGGCGGTGATTTGGGTCGGACGTCGGCTAGACGACGGTGGGCCTGATGTATGCAGATTGGGGCCAGGAAGGGATATCGTGAGACGAATTCTGAGGCGAAATCTGCTATTTTCCTACGGCGGGCTGCTGCGAAGTAGATTCTGGGTCATGTTTCCTCCACGACAGGGTCAGCTGAATTGCGTCATAGAAATACGAAGTAGGGTAAAGGAATGAAACCATGCACCAATAAATATTTCCACAACTACAATTCCATGCCAAATTTATGTAATATATCATTTCGTTTTATAACATCGTTATTTGATTTGAACCATTTGTACTTTCCCCATGGCTACCGATGTTATCGTGTATTTGTCTTTATATGTCTCATCTGCAAAAAAGTACGAATTCGTGACGTAACTTACCTACCCAACGGCAGATGCTTCAGATGATACCTTAAAACCCGCGCCCCGCTGGGGGGGGGGGCAGAATCTGCCCCCCCTCCCGTTTTTCGCCAATAACTTCTAAACGCGTTACGCCAGCGACGTCAAACTTTCAGTACCTTATCATACATCAATTTGACACGTTCCCTGAAAATTTGAGCGAAATCCGTCGGAAAATTTTTGAGAAATTGACGTTTTAGTGACGTCATGTTCGCCATTTTCGCCTCAAAAACGGCAAAATTTCAAACGCCGCTAACATCTTCATTTTTAAAGGAATCAAGACGTAACAAAAAAGGTTATACGTGATTCTACTTTGTCTATCCAATGGCTATCTCGGTTTTTTGAAAATTTTGGATTTTGGCCAAAATTTTTCCAAAAAACTGACTTTTTTGGGAAAATATTTATAAAATCCAAAATTTTGAGTGTATCGAAAAAACCGGAATATATGTCAAAGAACTGGTCTATGTGCACCTACATACCAATTTTTAGAAGAATCGGTTCAAAAATGTGGGAGTTATTCAAAATTTTATGACGTCACGACACACAAAAATTTTGAAAAATGATTTTTTTGGAAGTTCTAGACCTCGTACGGAAACAAAAATAGCACCATTCGATTCGCCGTGAAAAACTGCATCGGATAGACACCTTTTTAGGCCTTAATAACCAACTTCAAAATTTGACCTCACTTGACCTGACCTTGACCTGACCTCGACCTGAAATTCATCCATAGGTGGTCCATATCACTTATTGAGTGTGCCTATTGAATTCCATGAGTAAAATGACCCATAAAACATGTGTCGCACATGCCCTTTTCTATATTTTGTTTTTGGTGACCTGACCTGACCTGACCTGACCTTGACCTTGACCTTTGAATGACATTGTGTGCAACGAATATTGTCTTGGTAGTCTAAGAACACGTTTTGGGCAATCAGTCTCAGTCCATTCTTCGGCAACTACGGTGCAAGGCCGATACTGTAGAAACTTGCATTTTGTACCCTTGACCTGACCTTGACCTGACCTCTGACCTACTTAAGCAAAAAAATTTGGGCTCTTAAGATCCGCCTTGTTGAGAGCTTTCGATTGCCGTTTTCCCCGTCTTTCTACGACCATCGGTTCGGAAGTTAGACAGGGGGGGCAGAATCTGCCCCCCCCCCCCAGCAGGGCGCGTATGGCTGAATAGCCCAGCGGGGCGCGGGGTAATGTGATTACTGTTTCAGGTATAAAGAACTTACCGGGCTGGCCGACACGGTGGCTGAAATAATGGGAGCCTACGGCAACTTTACGCCAGAGGGTGAGTTATAATTTATAAAATAGGTGACATGAAACGTATGGATTACAGCACAAGCAGAATATTGTTTGTAATACTCGAGCATGACGTCTTTCATTTTATGTGATCAAAGTATTATTTCGTCATGCAGTTAACTTGCCCTCGCCAACTAAAATTGATGCAAAATAAGTACATCAATAAATACATAAATCAATGAATCAATCACTTCCGTGCTATCAGCTATCGGGCAACTTATTGGATTTCCGGGTGAATCGTCGAATTTCATTGATATCATATTTCCCGTTTCCATCGTCCTCTTCGTCTACAAAACACTGTATGCCGTTTTGCAGCCCTAATTTTCGTTTTCCCAGCGCTGAACCTCCCTTGCCCTCCCTGTTTTCAGCGCTGATCTCCCTGACATCACGAACTCTGAACCCCCGTATGCCTTCCCTGTTTACTCGTATGACCCGACCTGTTCATATCCCCAACTCTCAAACCCCGCCTGTTCTCCCCGTTTTCAGCGATTCTCCGGTCTCCCAAAACACTGAACCCCCGTATGCCCTCCCCGTTTCAGCGCTGCTCTCGGTGACCGTACAAACCCTGCAGCGGCGTCTTGAATACCTTCTAGAGGCGCGATCAGTGGTTCTCAACCCGAACACGGGCGCCCCGGTATCGGTCATAATTGTACAACCAGCTCCGCCCAGCGCGGTTCCTTCGGCGGAACCTGAACCACCGGTGGTTACAGTGGTTCAGGAACCGAAACAGATGGCGGACCTGGCCGGAGAACCGTGGTTCCTTGCGGACAGGTAACCATGAGTGATTGTTCTGTTGAAAGTCATTTGCGCAGTCAAATGCTGCTTAGTGCTCATTGAATTAGGAATTAAACATTTGTTTCTGTAAGTTATCGGCATATGTTTTTTTGGTCATAAGTGTTTTCACGCATGTTCTGCAGTTTGGAGTAATTACTAGACAGTAGACACCCATTCACTGTCCAAAATCAATCATTCAAGCTAACTTAACCCGGCAGTTGCTGGGGTATTTCGCCACCCACCGTTTGCTGGGGGGGGGGGGCGTTAAACGCCCCCAGCCGATAACTCGAGAACCAATAGGCGCAGCGAAACGCACGAGGCGGCAAACGAAAGAACGCGACGAGACGCTTCAGATGAGTACTTTAAAGTTGAATTTTGAGGTCACAGGTCAGGTCAAGGTCAGGTCAAACACCTGAAATCGGGCTTTCAGCAGCATGGACTTCAGGACTTCGCAATGGGCGCCTCTCGTCATAAACTCTGTGAAAACGTGCACAATTTATCATATAAGGCCTACAAGAGTGTCAGCTCCATGTAGGGGTCAGTCAAGCATAGATCAGGGTCAAGGTCAGGTTGTTATAAATCGAGGACTTGGACAACTTTAACAAATTCGTTTATATTGCCGAAGCACCAATCAAGATACAAACAATACAAAAAAGCTCAGATTACAAATTCGAATTTCAATCCACGAACTCGCTGATCTTCAATTTCACATTATTTGTCGCGCGCGGTTCGTGCACTTTTGGGCAGACGACTTTCAATACACAACATACTCCCCCCGTTGCAGAAGGTTTGAGTGGACCAATCACATACCTACCTACTGCAACACATGTCAGTCCCTAGATGCAAAACTGATACAGTTTACAGAGCACATGTCACAATCAACATACACTGTCTTTCCACCTCCGCTCTAGCACTCGGCTGTAACAGTCGGGCTACCGAGCGCTGCCGGTGCTGCTATCGCTCTGCTCTCCTACACCAGCTCCAGGTTGTGTAGTCGCTGAACCGCACAGCATGTGCGGCGCCCATCACTGGTGCGGACCTGCACGGACCGAACCACACCATCCGGTCCATGATACAGTTTTTCAACCGTTGCCATAGGCCATGTCAAACGCGGAGCATTGTCCCGCCTGATAATCACTACACTGCCGAGCTTTACATTGCCTCTGGTTCCAAACTTGGGAACGATAGCTGGCAGGTTTCGTATATACTCGTCACGCCACACACGCCAGAACCGCTCTAATCGCTCGCTACGAACTGATTTCAGTCGGCCTAATGCCTCCCCTGACGCACCCTCGATACCTTCTGACCTCTCCAGACTCAAGACTGAGGCACGGCCAATGAGAAAGTGATTGGGAGTGAGTGGACCAGGGCATCCACTGTCATCACTGACAAATGTCAGAGGTCTGGAATTGACGCACGCCTCAACTTCATGTAGGATCGTTTCTAGCTCACGTTGTGCCAGATGCCGCTGCCCTACTGACTTCCTCAGTCCGACTTTGACTGATCAAATCAGTCTCTCCCACCAGCCACCATGCCACGGCGCGTAGGGCACTGAAAACCTCCACTCGGGAGCCGCGTATCCGATGCTCGACTGTAGATGAGTCGAGCACGCCTTGAAGGTCTTTGCGTTGTCCGAGTAGATCACTACTGGCCAGCCTCGTCTGGCCACAAAACTCCGCAAGGCCAGCAAAAGGCACGACAGCGACATGGACTCTGTTAGCTCCAAGTGGACCGCTCGCGTTGTAGCACACGTGAAAAGACAAACGTATAGCTTGTGCCGCGGCCGATCGACTGAGAACAGAGGTCCCGCGAAGTCTATTCCAGTCACGGAGAACGGGCTAGACTCAGTCACTCTGAGACGTGGGAGAGGACCGGCCGGTTCACAGCAGGGCTGTGCGTCCTGTCTCTGACATGAAACGCACTCTCGTTTCACCGTCTTTGCTATGCGGCGGGCGCCAACAATCCAATATGAGCTTCGCAAAGCAGTCAGCATGGTGTTGACGCCTGCGTGAGACATCAGTGTATGCTGAAAGCGGACTATCAGCATAGAGAGATGACATTTTGGGAGGATGATGGGGTGCTTTTCATCTGTTGACATTTCTGCCATTTGGAGACGACCCTTCATGCGAATCAAACCATCATCAGACAAAAAGGGGGCCAGTTTGTAGATGGATGATGACTTCGCCACAGCCTGGCCCCGAGCCAGCGGAGTGTACTCCGCATGGTACAGTGATCGCTGAGTCTGGCCGATGAGAGTCACTTTGGCCTCACGGATCTCTCCGTAGGACAAGTCGGCAGCTGTGATTCGACTGTCAGGGTTTCTCGCGTTGTGAATGAAACGCTTCACCCATGCTGTAACACGGACAGCCGTCACAAAAGAGCTCCACTGACTCAATGGGAGCACACTCTCTGAGGCGATCGAGTCAGTGCGCAGCATCATAGCATCCTGTTTGGATCCCGACTCGCCCAAACTTTCACGCAGAACATCTGGTCCGTCTGGAGACTCGCATGCTGCCGTGGACTCCTCCGTCTCGGCTAGCTCCTCGCTGGTCACGAAGAGTCCGCATCCGGCTGACTCTAGAGGGGAGCGAAGCCACTCAGGCCCGCGGGCCCATAGCTCAGAGCCAACCAGCTCGTCCGCTAGCAGTCCCCTCGAAGCAGCGTCAGCTGGGTTGTCCACACCCGCCGTATGACTCCATACGGACGGCTCAGTCAATGTGTGGATCTCCACCACACGGTTCCTGACGAACTGTTTCCATTTCGTAGGCTCGCTCTTTATCCATGCCAACGCTATGGTAGAGTCTGTCCAACAGCGAACGCGTACTTCTGAGGACAGTTTCAGAGCTTTGCAGACATAGTCTGCCGTGCGAGCTGCTAGTAAGCATGCTAACAGCTCCAATCGAGGAAGGGTGACGGTCTTCACCGGTGCCACTCGCGCTCGTGCTAATAGAAAGGACACATCAAAGTCACCGCTGGGCGTACGATATCTGAGGTAACTCACGCAGCCATAAGCGCTCTGACTAGCGTCTCCGAAAATATGCACCTCGAGATCTGGCATATCGGACCAGCACACACCGTTTTGCATGTAGCAGCGAGGTATTCTGAGCTCCTGCAGCTGCGAAATGCCACCGAGCCATTTCAGAAAAATGCTCGCCTCGTCGCTCGGGATAGGATCGTCCCACTCCAGTCCCTTTAGCCAGAGCCGCTGGAAAAGGATTTTTGCTGTCATCACAAATGGGACCAAAAATCCCAGAGGATCGAACAGCCTTGCAACAAAGCTGAGCACGACACGTTTTGTCGGCACTATATTAGTCGGCACAGAGACACCGTCATATTTTAGGACATCTTCTGATGGATCCCATCGAACTCCAAGAATCTTTAGTCTGTCTGTGTCTGAGGCTGCGCCGTTCCTGTCAAGTACGAGTTCACTATTCGAATGACATTTGCTCAGTGTCATACCCGCCTGAGAGAGAATATCACTCCCCTCCAAGAACATCGCTCTCGCCTCTGCCTCACTATCGGCTCCGGTGAGCCAGTCATCCACGTAAAGGTTGTCCTGAAGCTCGGCCACAGTCCTGCTTTGTGGCTGGAGACCGAGGTGGTGCTGGATGGTAGCGTTAAGCAGAAACGGGGACGATGTGACGCCGAAGGGAACCCGACAGAAGCGCATCACTCTCTCCCTTCCATTGACGTCCCACAAGAATCTCAGACAGTCTCGATCCTTTGGTTGAACGGAGACTTGGAGGAAGGCCTTTGTGATGTCACCTGTAACGGCGTACTTATGCCTGCGAAATCTCAGCAGAACGTCTGTCAGACTCGGAATCAAAGAAGGGCCGGCCTCGAGACAGTCGTTTAGAGACACACCATTAGGCCCACGTGCTGAGGCATCAAACACCGGCCGAACCTTCGTTGATGCACTGTCTGGACGGACTACTCGGAGATGAGGCATGTAAAGTGTAGGATATGACCCTTTCAGCTCGTTTACTGGCACTTCCTCAATTATGCCTCCGTTTTCCATGTCTCCGAGTGCCTCGTTATATGAATGAGCCAGCGACTGGTCTCGGGTCAGTTTCCGAGACAGACTACTTAGACGGCTCTCTGCACCCGCTCGGTTATCCTGCAACTGACCTGGGCTCACTCCTGACTTCCAAGGGAGAGCCACCTCATACCTGCCGTCCTTGTACACTACTTTGGAAGAAAAATCATCCAACACAGCTTTGGCGTCATCATCTCGATCTTCCTTCACTCCAATGACGTCCAGATCCCACAAGTTACGAAGGGCCGACTCCGACATGTCATTCATAAGCAGAAGCTGACAGGATGCCGGCTGGGACTGGTCACACGTCGCCGCGCCTGAGACTACCCATCCGAAGGAGGTCTCCTGAGCGACTAAGCTGCCTGGACCGCGAACTATTCCGTCCTTCATAAGCGCCAGTATGCGTCAAGGCCCACAAGGATGTCTATGGACAGTGTTTGATCTGAGTCGTGCAGCTCTGCTAGCTCTAGGTCTCTGAACATTAGTAGAGCTTCAGAAGGTACCGAGGGACGCTGTAAGGGGGCGCATATCACAGGAACCTCTAGAGCACTGATAGTCTCCCTTGAGACACTAGACTGATTAGCCCCTGACACCGTTATCTGGACCAAGTTCCGCCTGCACGTGACTGATTTACCTCCCCCAAAGACCGCATACGAGCTACTCTGCTCACCTAGCCACTTAGCACCTACTCGTTTAGCTAGAGAAGAGGTGACAGCTTCTGTCAGAGCCACTATCAAACAGCAAGGTGGCTTGGACGGGCCCCTTTTCCCCTTGCACCCATACTCGAGCCGTGGGCAGAACAGTACACTGTTTGGTCAGAGCACACGACAGTGAAGCCTCAGGGTTTTCAGAGTTTTCACGCGCATCATCACAGTCGGGTTCGTTGTTGTTAGGCGACACCTGCGTTTTGACACTATCAGGAATTCCGTGCTTTTTAAAGCAGCACACGGCATGATGTTTCCCTTTACACACCGTGCACCTTGCACGACAGTTCGCAGCTACATGTCCCCTTTTAAGACAAACAAAACACAATCTGGCAGCTTTAATCTTACCGTGACGGTCGCCAATCGAAGCCCCATTCAGGTCAGGGCACTTTGCTGTCGCGTGGCGTCCATCACAGAGCCCACACCTGCCAGTGTGAGCTGTCGCGCCGCCAGTTTCCGGTCCTCCGCGGCCATCCTGATCAGCGGCTGAGTGCAGAGCCGTGGCCGAGGAAGTCGTGTGTCCGGTTCTCTGCTCCCGGCCGCGTTCTCTGACGTCTCGTTTTGTTTTGCTGCTGTTATCGATAGTAGTCGATCTGTCGATGCGGTCGATTTCGCTTCTGAGACAGCTTAGAAGATAGCTGAGATCACTTTCTCGACCTTCACTTCCACGAGCCCACTCCAGCCTAAAAGATTCTGGCAGGCGGCTCAGCACGAGGGGTGTTAGGATGACCCCATATCTGTCGCCTCCTACTCCAAGCCGCTCGAGGCTGCGGATGTGGAGCAGGAGTGAATCTTGGACGGCTTTTAGAGTCATTTCTCGTCGCTCTGTACCCAGCACCAATAACTTCTCTACGTGAGCGAATATTATCTTTGCTGGCCTCGCAAACCGCTCCTTCAATATGTCGCAAGCTACTTTGTAGTTAGCGCTGACAACTGGTAGTCCTTCAATGGCCTGCTTTGCCTCTCCAAATAGCAATGACTTCAGATACACAAGTTTTGTCACTTCTGGTATCTCAGAGGAATCTATCCCTGCCTGAAACTGATCCCAAAAGGAGTCCCATTCCAGGATCGCTCCACCAAACTTGGGCAGCTCTAGCTTGGGAAGTCTTGCATTTTGACCTGCAGAACCGTTTGACGAGGTGGTACTGGCCGTCGTCGACTGACCACTCGGTGAACCACCACTTTCCGTCGAATCTCGATCACAAGTGGACATCCTTTTTAGTATCCGAACTGCTCTCCAGCGCGCCTCCATAGCGCCGTCTCTCACTTCGGCAGCCTCTTCTACATCGGCTTCAAGTTCGGTGTCGTTAATCACAAGTTCGATCTTCTCTTGGAACGCGTCCACATTTGACGTTCGCTTGTCCAGCTCTGTAAGAGCACTTCGAAGTTCTTCTTCTTCACATTCAATGTCGATGAGCTTCTCTATTTTCGCAATGGATCGTTTGAGCCAGGTTCGAGACGCTGCTCGTCCACGCCTTAATTCAGCGATTGTCGTCATGCTTAAACACAAGATATGTCGACCTATTTTAACTTCGGCAATATAAGTTCCCGGGTTTCGGCACCATGTTATAAATCGAGGACTTAGACAACTTTAACAAATTCGTTTATATTGCCGAAGCACCAATCAAGATACAAACAATACAAAAAAGCTCAGATTACAAATTCGAATTTCAATCCACGAACTCGCTGATCTTCAATTTCACATTATTTGTCGCGCGCGGTTCGTGCACTTTTGGGCAGACGACTTTCAATACACAACACAGGTCAACCGGGCAGGCACATATCCCCGAAAATCAAAACTGATATTCGCAGCCTGTGACAGATGTTTTATGGGTAATTTGGGGCGTAGAACACGATGGTGACATTCATTTTACCATCTGTACGTGTTTGGCTAAAAAAGTTAAATTTAAGAAATGCATGTACCTATCATGGTCGTGAAGTAGTCACGAGAAATTGCCAAGATTCAGTTCAAGATTTTGGAAAATGCGGAACAATAATCAACAATCGAAGATAGCCATTTCATTGTTCATGGTATTGGCAGTCTAATGGCGTTTACGGCATGTCTGTATGTCTATTCTGTGATTTTATATGATTTTTTGAACATATGCCGTTTTTGGTCGAAAACTCAGAAATCATGACGTCACTAAAACCTCGATATCTCAAAAAAATTCCGACCGATTTTTTGAAACTTTGTCACAATAAACTTTAATCAATTCCCTACAGGTACGCAAAATTTGGCGCGCCTGCGGCGCGCCGTTTTTATGCTATGGCCCGGCGAAAAAAGTGGGGGCGTTTAACGCCCCCCCAGCAACTCGCGGGTTAATCACGAGTCGAACACATTGTTCGAACTGATCCGCGATATAAAACCCGACCACACGCGGAATCGAACCCTCCTTGCTGGCTTACTGACGCACCCCCCCCCCCCTCGCCCTGCAGATACGCCGAATATGTGCATGGTCAGCATATGCGTCAGGACCCTGCACTGATGGAGAAAGGAGTATGGACGCACCCCTACCTACGCTGTATGGATAGAAAGTGGATTATATCTTATACCGTCAGAGTACCGGCACGACCCAGCGAGCCAAAGAACAGGTGAGGATTTTTGATGTGTGAAATTTCTGTTAGAATTTTTGCAATAATTGATGGCAATAATGACATTTTGTTAGAATAGTTTCAAAAAAAAAACTAAAAGCAACGCTGTTTTCACATTTAGCGTTTGAAGTCAAATTGCTATGAGTTGTTATTCAAGAGCTTCGCATTATCGGGCTGTGACAAACTGCGAAACTAGGTTAATTGTGATTTAGCCATATCAGTCAACCATTTTGTTCTACAATCGTTTTGTATGGTCCTACATCAAATCTCCCGATTGTATGTGAATCCTATGACCTATACTCCCCCGGCACTACCGGGTTCTCTCCGGAATATTCGTCCCTTGGCACTCTGACAGAGAACGATTATTTCCTGTCTGGTCCTGGTAAAGACGCTAGCTGAATATCCTGCACGAAGGCTAGTCCAAAAGCAGCGCTTAGTCCTCCAATAGGCTTCATCGAGTAAGGCTTCAGCGTCTTGCATTCAGCTGTAGGCTATTTACCGGGTGGCCCAGAAAAAACGTTCCCAATTTTAAATCAATATTTCTCAGAAAGTGATAAAGATACAACATTGAAACTTCCAATAGTCAATGCGACATATATTTTCAGTGAATGGTATAATTTTTATGTTATTCGGTCAATTACTTTTTAAACGGTTTGTGTTTCTAGCATGCCATGTAAAAATCACTTTTTTGCTCTGATGTTTACCAAAAATGTGAGTGAACGGGCCACTTCCATCTCGGCACCACGGCCTACAGCCATGACTGCTACTGGCAACTAGTCTCATTGGTGGTTCAGGCCTCAGGGTGACACATTCCCTCTAGCTTTTTTCCTTATTCGGTCGAGTTACTATTTGATCTTCTTGAAGGGAGGGCGATCAGCAGTAACCCATGCACCGTGCCACTCCTTCGCCTCAAAACAGGACTTGTGTTGAAACGAATGGCATCCATTAACACAACTTTGGCTTAGTATTTGAATATTTGGCACATAAGTGTGACAAAAATACATATATAAAATAGCAACACACGTGCTGGTATCATTCAAGCCGTTTTATTGTTTTTTTTTTTCTAACATGGTACATCTAAGCCAATCATTACTTCCGTTCAACAACGGCAAAAAAAAGCAAAAATGTCTTACTTGATTCAACATAAGATTGCTGGCTTGAAAATGATGGTACAGTGTTATAATTTGGCATACCAATGCGCAAAGAAGTGACGCAAACTTGATGAAAATTTTGACTCGTTATTTGCACTCGAATTTGAGATATAGGCCTCCAAAGTTCGGAACGTTTTTTTTTTGGGCCACCCGGTATATGTCCGTGGATCAATAACGCCGGGGTATTCTCTGAAGGTTCACAACAGCGTCTTTCCTGTGCCGGATCTGGATTGAACTAGCCGATACCGGTGATTAGCGGAAGAGCGTGGCGCTGCTCTGAAGCTGAAGCGTGGAGGCTGGTTCCGACATAGTTTATGAAATTGGAAAACATAAATCTAGAAGATACCTGTAAGGACCAACAAAAAGCAGCCATCAAGGCGGGGAAAGGGCGGAAGAGGGGAGGGGAAAGGCGGAAGAAAATGGTCGTCGAGGATGTTTCGGAGCTGCTTGAGACATGTAGGAAGATGTTTGAGATCAATGAAGAAACAAACATCCGACTCGAGATAACGGAAACTAAGTTTTCTTGTGGCATTTGGCCTGAACGAAGCCACCGAAGACCTCAGCAACGGCAGCGGGCTGTGAATCGTCGCTGACATGAACGACAACAGCTGTTAACGACAACGAATGCCTATATACTGCCTTGGACAACAGCCATTTATGTACACTGTGGGATAACAGTAGTAGTACTCGAGACCTGAACTAGCGGGTGCCGATCTTCCACCGGCCGGCGATTGTCGCTCTCAATCGGGCGTGGAGCAGCTGTTGGCGTCGTCGGACAAGCCAGCAACGTCGCTGTGACTGTTGGTGCCGACATCTACTTGGTGCTTGGAGGTGCAACAGCTCTAAAAACATATCTGACGCGAGCAGCACCACGTGGGGGACGTGACACTCCGAGCGCCTCCTGTACTGGCATGACTAGGTGTAGGCACTGCAGTAACAGTTGGTAGCATTAGACCAAATGAGGGCTCAAAACTACTATACCATATGGTTTCCATATTCAATCGACGTTTTCCAAGCGAGGCTCACACATAATACATCAATGAAAAGGTTAAACCGATGGAGGGGGAGGTAATACAATCTTTCTATCTAGCGTTTCTTGATGCCCAGACCTGGACAGGGCTAAAAAGCTTTGGGCGCCGCCAGATGTCCCGAACCACCCTGAATGAGGCCACAAGTACCTGCGCATGCGCACATTGCCGCAGCCTTGCACTCGAGTAGGTAAGGGATACTGTTCATGAACTCAATGAACCAATCAACATTCAACGTCCTTGTGTGTATTTCAAGATGTCACTGACGTCGGGTGAATCCTGCTCACGAGTACGTTTGAGGAACGTCACAGCTGCACGATTTCATTCTACCAATTCCTTCCATCTTAGTATCAACTATGTTATTAAACTAACTTTAGACTAACTTTCAAGCTAAGGTTAGTATGCGTTTTCTGGGAAAAAAAAAACTTCAAAAATAACTCATTACATGAAATTGGCAGAACTTCTCATGACCATTATTTTTATATTAAAAAAATGTAACAGCTACCCTGTATCTCATCCGGATAGAATGGGCGCTTTCCGCGTCATCAGCGTACCCGACGTTCTATATACCTTGAGCATGTCAACCCTGTAGACTTGCAGCACAGTGACGGTGAATGAGGAAGCTGCAAAGCCGCAGGCCGAAGCTGGATATTCTTCCAGTGACAGATGTCAGTGTACTGGTGGATCAGGAAGCTGCACTGAGCCGCATATCGAAGTTGGAGATTCTCCCAGTGACATGCCGACGTACGATGACAGCGTTCCTGGGGGAAAGCCTGTCTCTACACCTGAAGAGAAAGATGTGCTTAGAGGACTCGCTGGATGGAACCGATGGAACTGAATTGAGCCAGTCAATGGGAGATGTCTACGAAGTGGAGACAAAGTGCACCATGCGTTCGTGAAGGAGAAAGTAATCAACAAGTTCCTTTCGTACTCGAGGAGGAAGTATGGTGCGGAGACAGGACAGCAAGAAGAGTGCAAACACCCACGCACAGCTTATGAGGGGCTTCGAAACTATTGGCCGGCAGCAACGCTGCTCATGCTGCACATCGTGTTACGTGTACAGTCAGTCCGCCCAAGGTACCCGTGGGTCCATACAGGGTAGGGTCCGGGTCCATCAATTCTGACGGAGGAAGGGCATGCTATAATTTGAAAGTCACAGGACCAATCTGCCCGGGGAATGGACGAGGATGTTTATTGCTCCGGTGACTCAAATTTAGCAGCCCTTCCAGGGTCGGCCTTGATGAATCTCCCGCACTGTTGCGCGGTACTTTTATGACAGTCTAGGTACATACACGGCGATGGCCAATGTGATGAAGGACGCGGGTGGTCACGTCCTGAAAGAGGTGATGTGGAAAATGCTGCCCGACAGGCGCAAAATGCTCAGTAATAAAAAAGAGCATGGACGACCTATTCGACAGATCTACGCATTCCCAGGAATCCAAAGAGATCTAAAAATGATGGCTAAATACTCGTGCTTGGGAAGAATTATCTTGAATATCTAGCCAAAAAGAACACCGCTTACCAACGTCAATCCGCATAGGTATTAGGTATATTGAGTGCTGTAATCAACAATCAACTATCGTATAGAGATAATACGAATGCCTTTAATTAGCGTCTGTCGTCACGTACTGAGCATGTAAATCTAACTATGCCTGTATATCACGCGTCATTGACCATTCAACTATGTACGCCGCGACGTGTTCAGACGGAACCAACGCCATCACCCAGCGCCAAACAGTACCTAATTTACTATCATTGATTTGATCCCGACAACACTATTTCAGGGTGAATAGCTTCATCAGCTTTGATGTAGACGTGTCCCGGTTGGATATTAATCAGTGTGACGTCACTGGAGGCGGCGCTGACGTCACTGGAGGCACCAGAGGTGGCCAATCGGATCAGCTGGAAGTGTTCAGAGGACTGCATAAATGTCACGATACTTCAAAGGTGGGTATCGTTAGGGGTGTTATAAATGACATATTGGTGTCCTGTGACTCCTTGCAACTATGGAAAATATTTTATGATAAGTATACAGGAATTAGTTTGTACTATAATTGTGATTTGTTTTGTGCATATAAAATTGCAGCTACATGAAACGCGTTTGTTCAATAATACTGTATCGGTCTGGTATGTATCAGTCTGTACTTGCGCTATTGCGAAGTTACGGATCTTTAGCGAGCTCTTTTACTTGTCACAGTGTACTTTCATGAACATTTTTATTGTTTGTCCTGCATCAGTAAAATATTCTAGTTTACCCTGCTTCTTCGCTACAGTTTCTCACTCCAAATCTCCTTACATATTCGCTCCTACCTGCAGTGTATTTTCACGCCGGGCCGCGGCTGGCTGCGCGGAGGATATATCTGCCGCTGTTTGCCGGGTTTTTACGCCCCCGGTGGACAACCGGAGTTTGACGGCATCAGCGTAGAGGGTTAGTAGCTTATAAGGGTTAGACTAGAATTATACTAGAACTAGACTAGAATGTGTGACGGGGTACTTCGGGGTATGACGCGGAACGGGCTGCCGCTATGTGATTGAAAGGTCTTCTGCGAATAAATATACGATTTGGCTGGAACGTGGTTAAGTGCATATATGTAATTACGGAGCGAGCGAAGCGAGCGGAGTCTTTCCTTAGAATAACGGAAATTTCTGAGTATGAGCGGCCGGCCGTGCGGACGCTTTTGCGAGGCTTATATCTCAGCAACCACTTGACCGATTTACATGCGGTAATTTTTGTATGGTAGCTTCATTCCTTCTACCAAGTATTGGACTATTCCCGATGCATGTGGGTGACCCCTTATGCACGTGCCACGTGCAAAACGAAGAGGTGTCAGTTTTGCAATTGTTGCAATATCTCGGTAACTACTTGGCCGATTGCGCTCAAAATTGGCATGTAGGTAGGCACCCACTAGGCACTGCATATCTATGTGCCAGAGTTGGGGTGCTGCTGCACGTGCGCACGTGCAGGGGTCGTTTCCAGATCTCGAGAACGGCTCAACCGATTGCGCTCAAATTTGGTACACAGTTTGGGACCGGTTAGTAGGGTGCCGTGCACAAGTCAGTTGGGACCCATTTTGCACGTGCGCACGTGCAGGGTGCCGCTTCCAGATCTCGAGAACGGCTGGGCCGATTGTGCCCAAATTTGGCACATCGCTAGAGACCGGTTAGTAGGGTGCCGTGCACAAGTCAGTTGGAGGTACCCCCTCGAAATTCCGCACGTGCAAGGCTCACCCTCTCGCTCGCTCCGTTAGTCGCCCCAAAAGGCGTTATACTGGTTTGGTAAAGGCTGCACAAGCCGTAACTTGCGAACTACGAGTAGCACAATGATATAATAATGGCACGACCTTGAACCACCTAGTTCATCAGTGGACAGTGACTATAGTCACTAACCATGCCTCTCTCTCCCTCTCTCTCTCTCTCTCTCTCTCTCTCTCTCTCTCTCTCTCTCTCTCTCTCTCTCTCTCTCTCTCTCTCTCTCTCTCTCTCTCTCTCTCTTCTCTCTCTCTCTCTCTCTCTCTCTCTCTCTCTCTCTCTCTCTCTCTCTCTCTCTCTCTCTCTCTCTGTCACTCTTCACCAGTCGCCTACGAGGAGCGTCTTCAGGAGGGCCGCGGTGGAGGCAGCTCTTACGACATGCTGTACATCTGCAAGCCTTGTGCCCCCGGATGTGTAACATGCACGTCAGACAGGCCCTGCATGGCGGCGTACAACTGGGTGTTCAGGTATGAATGTATGGCGGCGTATAACTGGGTGTTCAGGTATGAATGTAGTATGGCGGCGTACAACTGGGTGTTCAGGTGTTCATAACATGTAACTTGTTTTCACTGTTTTGGTATGGAAAATGAAATGTGCAGGAATGACTTAATTAATTGCAGCTAAAGTATGGTTGGGACTGTGTTTTCAAGCGTTATGGCCGGGTTTTGGGTAGTTCTGTATATAGTACGGTAGCTGTTTATCCCTGTTCTTCGAAAAAAGATTGTCATGCTTTCTGATTTATACATATGGCTTTTATTGCTTAGATGATTGTCTCATTGACCATCCCTAATGCTCTGTTCTTGCCGACACTTATATCCTGTGACCATTGACCGCTGACCAGCTACATGAAATATAAGACCCGCTAACCATCTCTATTCTCTGTACTTGCCCACAGGATCGTGCTGTTGACCACCTCTATTCTCTATACTTGCCCACATGATCGTGCTGTTGACCATCTCTATTCCCTGTACTTGCCCACAGGATCGTGCTGTTGACCATCTCTATGCTGTGCGTTTTGATGACTTTCATTGTCATCGGCCTCATAGTGCGTTTCAAGCGTCTCAAAGTCATCAAAGCGGGATCACCTATCTTCCTGACCGTTACCCTGCTGGGATGTGTTGCAATGTATATGGAGGTGAGCGAGATTAATTGAGGTAACTCATTTATACTTATACGTGACATGACGCAATTGGTGCGTTATTTTTCTTCGATTTGTTTTGATGAGTCGCAATAAAGTACTGACGAAAGTTGTTTAAAACGTTCAATATGTTGTGGATTATGGAACATGAGAATAATGTGTTTTATTAGTCATATTCATTTAGTAAGCACAAATTGAAGCCAAATAGATGCTTACGCCAACATATGCGACTCATTCATGGTAGGTATTAGGTAACCTAAATGCCTAAAGCCTAAAGCTAAAAAATCGCTGATGATGATAGTGGTTACCTAACATGGCTATTCTAAATACTCACTTATGACATAAAACGTATTCTTTCCAAATTGATAAACCAACATGTCCACCGCCATATGCGCCCAGATGGCGGCCATTTTCCCCGTGCTGGACACATACAGCTGTGTGGCCACCAAATGGACGCGTCACATGGGATTCTGCATCACCTATTCTGCTCTGCTGCTGAAAACATGGAGGTGGGTTCCTAAGACGTAATGTTGTTCTTTTACACAGGAAACTACCTCTCATCAAAGATAAGAGTTGTCAGATTTTTTATATTTCTAAGGCTCGCCATACCTTCTATTGGGATACTTTGTACTGCATACCAAATTTCTCTAATGTTTGATCATTGATTTATTATATTCTCACAACTTAGTTTTATAGCGTTTTTCTGCCTTTGACGCCGAATGTTGCAACCGACGCAATTCAGGACTTATCCTGCATTACGTCGGCGATAGATGCGGCGTATTCAAGCCTCTTGCATGTTAGGCTCTTCTTGAACTCAACCCTACCCCTACCCTACCCTACCCTACCCTACCCATACCCGACCGAAGCGCTTTACCAAGTTTGAGCGAAAATTTGGTCTGGAAGGGGTCAAAGGTCTCAGCGTCCCGCTCATCGGCCGCCAATTATGAACATACGTGTTTTACAATACCGACCTTCATTTACTGACGTGAACTTCTAAGTACTTCAGAGTGCCTCAATGACTTACCGTTACCATTTCTGACCGGGGAGGTATCTCTCATTTGCAGAGTATCTCTAACTTACCGGGTCAAGTCTGCACACAAGCTGAAGTTGACGGACAAACAGCTACTTCAGTGGCTCTTCCCTATCCTTCTAATTATGGTAAGTGCCAAGTGGTTTTCTACGGATTGTATCGTTGAAGTTGTGCCAGATACTGGGTAGGTAATGCAGGCTCTTTACTGTGAGCACATTTACAAGGAATTTTCGTTTAACTTCTAATAATTTGGTAAGTGGCAAGTGGTTTTGTACGGATTGTATCGTTGTCCTTATGCCAGATTCTAGGCAGGTACAGTCACCAGCACTTGCTACCCATCACCCCCGGACGGCGGGGGAGCAAGCTACCACCGCCCTTGCGAGACTAGCGCCGCCATGCGCCAAGAAGTGGAAACACCACGTGACTGACGCCACGTGAGGGCAGGGTCACGTGATGGAGGGGCGGAGCATAGTAGCTTTTGCGCCCGACACTAACTGAAATGCGGCGCAGTGATTGGGCGCTTTAGCATGAATGAAGCCCCGGTGCCAGAATCAGCCGTTCGCCTTATGTGGAAGGTAAGCCTGTGCGTTTCACTGTTCTGTGTTGGTTTGAGAGCCACGGCACCATACGAATTGTGAGCCCCTTTGAACGGGTCACCGCCCGAGGCACTGAGGCGACGGCTGTGCCGGGCAAAGCCTAGCCTGGTGGGAGAGGTGGGCCAGGGAAAGTGCGATCGAGCAGCGACACTGAGACGTGGATTGGTATTATCTAACCGCGACAAACGATGTCAGCAGCCTCTTCTCGTTGACACGAAAAGTTTGACAGACAACGTGGGCAGTGCCCAATCAAAAGCTACTAAACGATTCAGTTAAGAAGTTGCCGGGATAACCAGACCCAATAAAAAGTTTTTAATTCGATTTTGATTGCCAAATGACATACAAGCCCGCCGTGATGGACCAAAAAAGGAGCTGAATAGTTCATAATTTCTAAAAAGCTCAACGGTAAAAATTTAGAAGTCAAATGTTAAAATTCAGCCTGCATGTTTAAACTCGGGTCCGGAGCTGGCAGGAAGCTTATATGCCAAGCTTGCAATTCCACTACGTTGTAATATAACCAAGAGTTATGTGAGAGCAACAACTGAAAGCCTTTAGCCCCGTTGGGGGGAGGGGGGCGCGAAACAGCCCCCTCTCCTTTTCAGTCGATATCTCCTTAAGTATAGCGTAGGTCGCCACCAAACTTTCAAGACCCCTCCGGGCATCATTTTACACCTTGTGACCAAATTTTTCCAAAGCTCTTATGAAAGGTTAGTCACAAATGACGTCAGAGTGACGTCATGTTCTGTCATTTTCGACCCAATAAAAGGTTTAGCGGGAAGAGATGTCACGCTTACAGTTTTGAAGATAACAAAAAATAGGTATTCAAGATAAAAAAGATGTAAAATAAACAGCGCTACAAAACTGCCAACTCTGATTTCTAAACAAAAACTGATTTTGACCATCAAAACTATAGACGTATACCTAACACCCGGAAAATACCAACAACATTCAAAATTAAAGCTGGAATATATGTTATAGAACTATCTGCTCTAGATATGCCAAACTTAAACTCGACAGCTCCATTGTTAGCAAAGTTATGGCAAAAAAAAAACACTACTCAAAATGTATTACGTAAAATCAAACTCAATTTTTAGCCGTCACAGAACACACAGAGCAAGCCAAAGACCACCATTGGATTTCCCGTGATGAGCTGCTTCGAATAGATACCCCTTTTATGCAAAATATCAACTATGAAATTTAACCTTTTTTTTGACCTGACCTTCACCAGAACGTAATCTAAACCGGCCCCAATGGCCGTCTAGCCCACACCATTGAATTTTAAATGTAAAATTGCCCATAAAATATGTATCACGCGACCCTAGCAATTAGCATAGTTGGGTTCATATTGTGACCCTTAGTGACCTGACCTCTTTGACCTGACCTGGCATCAGTGACCTCTTTAGGCAACATATGTATTAGGCAACCACGCTCCATCGATGTTTTTCGATAACATGCCTTTTATTTGATGTGTTAACTGACTGTAACGCATTCCTTAGACTAAATCGGTGAAAAAATGCAACCTTTGACCTGACTTGTGACGTCATGGGTTGCACCTAGGTCAACGAAACCTAGTAACAAGGCTCGATAGCCCCTGGTGGGGCTATCGAACGTTCTTCGAATTTTCAAAATCAGTCGGTAACTTTCCGAGATCTCAGTTGGAGGACGAAACGGGACGGGAGCGGTACCTCGACATAAGCACGGAGTGCTTTTGAACCGCCCTGCATATCTTGTTTGATGCTTGTTTTGTTAGCAATACATGATGATGATGATGATGATGATGATGATGATGATGAAACGGCTGCACCACCTCATCATGTGGTAGGGTCCGCCAATAGCCCAACGGGGCGCGAATTATTTACTCATTCATACAGTGTCATCTATTTTGAGAACACCTTTCTCATGCCATGACATGGTCCTCTCGTAATAGATCGAGATGAGGAGGGTGTTTTCACGTCTCCTTATGCACGGCTCTAGTGTCATTGAGCTATCAGCTGTCAGTGGTTTTCGGACAATGAAGGAAGGCTTTTGGTCGTTTTTAGGTAAGATCTTGGGTCAGATCATTTCAGTGGCGGATCCAGACGGAGGGCATGGGGGCCATTCCCCCCCCCTTGGGCCTCCCGGGGGCCCATCACGGAGTTTTTTTTTTTAATTCATCACGGAGGTCACCGACGGGAGCTTTAACCCAGAGGTCTCCTAAGGGGGCACCATCCAGAAGGTCTATCGGAAAAGGGTACCGTTTTCGGGGTCTCCCGGAGGCCCATTTCTGTCCCTCGCCTCGGATTTTTTAGTTTAGTTGAGTTTTTTAGTTTTTAGTTTAATATTGTCCATCTATTTCCATCCCGAGGTCCGCTGGGGCACCATCTCGAGTTCTCAGGGGCACTATCCCGAGTTCTCCGCAGGCACCATCCCAAGGTCGGAGAGGGCACCATCTCGAGGGTCCGGGGCACCATCCCAAGGTCTCCGGCGGCACCATCGCGAGGTCTGGGGGCACCATCTCGAGGGCTCCGGGGGCACCATTCCAAGTTTCCAGGGGCACTTTTCCGAAATCCGAGGTCTGAAGGAGCACTCTCCCGGGTCTGAGGGGGCACCATCTCGAAGTCTCAGGGGCACCATCCCAAGGTCTCAGGGGCACCATCCGAGGTCTCAGGGGCCGTTTGATCCGCGCCGTCCTGGGGGGCGTTTTACGCCCCCCTAGGTTTTTCGCGAATTTCTCAAAACGGCGACGCGTAGCGCCGCTGTTTTGGATACACCCGTTCCGACATCTTTTTCGCACATGCTATGAAAATTTCCGATCCCGGTCATTCAGGTCAGGTCACCATGTAACGTCAAGTGACCTTACCTCAGAAAAAGTTGAAAGCTCGCTGTAGCTACACCGACTGAGCGATCACTTTGAAACTTTCAGTACTTGCTTAGGGTAACAGTATGTATAAAATGGATATCTCGTTTTTTATATCTGTGAGTTGGGACCTAAGTTCAGGTCAACTTTGCGACTGC